GTGTGTGTGTGCGCGCACACGCACGTGCGTGCACGTCTATACAACGTACCATGACACATGTGGAGGTCAGAGAAAAACCTTCTAGAGTCAGTTCTCTGTTCTACCATGTGAGTCTTAGGAATCAAACTCAATTCCCCAGGCTTGGCAGCAGGTACCTTTATCCACCAAGAAATCTCACCAGCCCTCAGACACCACATGACTACAGACACTATTGTTCTTTGATGTGGCTACAGGGAACTGTGCAGTGGATGATATGGTTGCACTTAATGTCCTTTACTCTGCTGCCTAAGGTTTGAACATTATCTGGGGAACAAATCTGTGCTTTATTTATTTTCCATTTATCATAAGAAATGCATTGATTTTTATTTCGATGGTTTGTGAGAAGTTGGCAAAGCTTATTAGCAATAAAAAAAGATTTAAACCCTATCTAGGTTTAACAAGCTCAAAATGCAAGCAAACCATAATATTTTTATTAGGTTTTAAATGTTCTGACTGAATTACATTTCACTTTAGTCTCTATGGATTCTTCTTCTGTGAGCTTACCCAGCCAAAGAACAAAAATGTTCTGATAAACACTACCTATATAATGGATATATGTAAAATTGGCCTTCCTTGTCACTATTCCCTATACATTATGGCTATTTCCATTACTAGCATTTATACTGTATTAGGTATTGTAAGAAAAAATCTAGAGAGTATTTAAAGTACATGGAATACTGTACCCAAGCAGTGAGCAAATATTCCATTTTATAGAGGGTACCTGGGTATCTTTGCATTTAGATCAGTGGAATTAAGCCATCATGGATATTTGCAAGATTTCTGTATGTTCATTAGCAACTCGGTGGCTTTATTCAATGAAGTGAGCACCTATTGTGTTCCTAGCCCAATAGAGCTTGAAATGTGCCAGGAAGACCTTGCAATCCTCCATCCACAATCTGGTAGGAAGGACAGACAATAAACAAGGGCATATGCCTATGAATTTGTGATGTATTACAAAGAAAATTGAATGGAGCTGAGAGGATGGAGTGATAAATCTGTGTGTCCTTTACATAGACAATGCATGGAGCCGAGAGGCCATTTTTAGTTGTTCTATCTACCCTGTTCTTATTCAACCAGGTATCATAAGTTCATTCACACTTCACGGTTTTTGCAAATGTTTCCTCCACCTGGCTTTCCTTCCTCCTCCTCTCAAGCACCACTGAGATTCTTCACTGTTCTGAGCATAGCTCTACCAGCATGTGGGCATGTGCAGTGAACCATTCCAGGCCTCTGCCACACAGAGAACAAGGCCCGGGGAACAGACCTGTGTCTTCTTCCCTTTGAATCCCAGAAGCTTGAAACATGGAGCTCAGTGTTTAAGTAATTTTGGAACATCAGAACGATACAGTCTGGTCTACCAGATGGTTTATTTAAATGCAGGTGGCCCCTTCCTGGACCTACTTAGAAAGCTGTGTGTTTTATCTTGCATGTCATACAAGTGAATTGAGGGATTTTTATATAGAAAGATTGACATCATTCAGTTTCACTAGGTTATGAATATCAGTACTGATATGAGATCACTAACTAGGCTGTCACGTCAATAAAAAGGTCATTACTGTGGGAAATGTGTGCTGACTAAAGTGCCATTTAAAACCACATTATTTGTAAAAGACCAAATCATAAGTAGGCAGAATCAACCCATGCTTTTATTTTCGTTGCATATAAAAATTTTATATGAAGGTATTGATGTACAGTACTATCCCCATGGGCTGTAAGAGAGGCTAAGAAACCACTAACAGAATCATCTGTGATGCGCACACACAATTTACCACTCTGAAAACATACCCAAAGAAATAAAACAATTAAAAAACTGAAATCAGTAAAGATGTATTTTGTAAGTATAGTGTCCCGTTTGTACTGTTTAAAACAAAAGTAATTAAATTCCTTTGGGCCAGGGCTGCTAAAATCTACAGTTTGTGTCAAAAATAAAATGAAATAATAGGAGGCTCATTTTTCCTAGAAAAAAGATTCTGTCTTTTCACTGTGTCACACATTCTAAGGGCTGGGCTGTAGTGAGAGGTGGCCACATTTTCCACCAGGAAGCTCTTGTAGCTTTCAGGTCTAGCTATTACACAAGGTCACACTTACCACTCCTACAGGGACGTATGTTTTACAGAAACAATATTAGAGAGACATGAATTTGTTACGTTATGGAAATTGACATCATCATATAACTTTAAGTTAGATGATTTACATGTATACATTTAAACAGTGAATATGTATATGTATTATGTATTATACATATATAAATTTGATCTTGGAGAAAAATTAGTATTAAAATATAATTTTTGGCATGACAGGAAGCTGGTGAGCAGAGGACTAACCAAAATGAGTGACCTATGAATCCCATTTTCAATCAAATTCATCCACCTGTAAGGACTAGAAGCCAAAAAGCCATTCTACAATTACTGGAAAAGAATATTTACCCAGTACATGTTTGGGGGTAAGAAAAAAAAAATCCACATGTCCAGGTGAAATAGCTCCTGGCACTCAGCTGGGACACAGTCACCATCTGTGCAGTCTTGCTCCATGGAAACAGGAACTTAAGATCATGCATCTCAAAAGTGTCAGAAGGTTCTCCAGCTGTGATCTGTAGTTTTGTAAAATCCAGCTATTGCCAGAAATCCAATTAGTGAAGAGTGTGGATACAAAATACCCAGCCCGAGCCTCACTATCACCTTACTTTGAAATGCAGCAAAACAGAAGAAAATATTGGTTACAGTTAAGGCACAGCCCTGGGACCAAAGACCTGCAGCTATGATATTTAAATTTATATATCTTTATGTATTTTATATTTTTCTTGAATCTTCCATAAACAAGCTCTATGATGACAAGACTATATTACAGAAGAAAAGAAAAATGTACAAGGAGTATGTATACACACCATTCATTCTCTCACCAAGAGTTTCCAAATATGTCAACACCATCCCACCATGGGATGATGTTTTAATAAGAACTGATAATTTACAATTAACATTACAGTATGTACATTGCAATAAATACACGGTTGTAAACAGACAAACAAGACTGTATTACAGGTAAGGTCATTTGGTGAGAAAAAATGCATGGCACAAAAAATAAATAATGCATTAAAATTATCATAAAGCTTTCTGTAAAATCTGTTTCATTCAAGTTTTTTTTCTTTTCCTTATCTGTGATTTGTTCTATCTACACTGTTTACTTGTGTCTTTTAACTGATGTGAAGGAGAATAAAACAAAAACAGCATTATTGTGTTCAGTAACTTGCAAGCTGAAATGTACTGGTTTTATGCAAACTTGGACTTGGTTTTCCCCATACAGTACCCAGATATTGCATTTTTGGAAATAAAGCTACTTGTACAATGATGTTCTTTTTAATGCAGTGTGTATTGTGAAACACACTTTGGTGAGAGAAGTGAGTGAGCAGGGGCAGGTAAAGGGGTGGGGAGTGGTAAGCAGATGGTATAGTACGGTAGTCTCTAACTCTTGGATATTATGTGTCCTCTACAGCTTGATTGTCCATCAGTGAATGCTGTTACAGCGCAGTGACATTAAAAACCAGCACAATGAAAAACAAAGGCTCCCTTAGTGCGGTTATAAACCCTTGCAGGTATGGATCTGTTTATGACATATTGCTGCTTTTAAGTCTCTTTTTGTTATGAAGACTGCAGGCACTCTGTGGGGGAAATGTCACGTGTAGGGAGGGAAGGAAGGGAGAATGACTTAGAAAGGGAGAATCAGCTCTAGACTCTCTGCCTTCTGGACCTTCTTCAGGGATACATACAATGAAAAGGGAAAGAGTCACCCAAATGTTTTGTGAAAAGCCTGGTCACACACAAAGGCAGATTACGCTCCGTTTGCTTTTTACAAGAAAAGGAGGCTGGCACTCCAGTGATCAGTTACTTGATTCTTACCATGCCCTATGTTAAAAAGCAGAAACCTGGTTCTAAGCATCATTTGGGCTCAAGAGGTTTCAGTTCAGCTTGGGTGATTTCCCTGGCTGATGATGGACTTTCTTAGTGACTAGCCCCCAAATTCCTTGAAAAGTTTTACAGATGTTTTTTCAGACTTAAAATTTTTCTTCAATGTTTCATTTTCCATTTAGTCATATACCTTCTTCCCCTTCATTCCCCATTTGGATTCCAAAAAGAAGAATAACATGGGCTCCAAACTCTGAGAATATAACTAAGGCCTGGACTAAACATGCTGCAATGAGGCTGACTGCTATCAGCAAGTTGACACTGGGAGTTAATATATAAAATCAATAGAGTTCCTGGGCTGGAATCTGGAATTCCCTCTCAATGTTATATTAGGGCAGTCTCTGTCAATCCAATGTTTTAAATTGTATAACTACCCCCCTGGTGTCAGTGGGATCAACTTTCATTTGGTGTGTCTGAAGGCATCCTTCCTATATAGGGCAAGCTTGTAGAGCTATAATAATAGATGGCAATTTTTACACCTTATCTACTTTCCAGGGCTACTCCTTGTGGAAGTCTTACTTCCATGGGCAGTTCAAACCACAGTTGTCCGGTATTTGTTGATATAGTCTGCTAGCATTCGTAAGAATTGCCTATGCAGCATTTAGCATGTTTTCCCTCTGCAACCCTAGAGTAAAAGCTAGTGATGACACAGAACCATGTGGTAGAAATGAACGTCAACCCTGACCTGATAACCTGTTTCTTTTTTCTAGGTCAGAACAGTAGTGATATCCTTGATAAGACCCCACCAAGAGAACACAGGCAGATGCTAGAAAACACATTAAGTAGTGTGGCATGAAGGAAAAATGTCTTTCTCACTATAATTGGCTGTGAACAACAACAAAATGATCGTGAAATGTGTGGGTGACTACAAGGACATGCATTTATGAAATGCACATCTCCTGACACAGAAAAATAAAAAGGCATCCGAAGGCAGTAGGTAAGGAGATGCCTGAAAAAGACTGACTCTTTTAGCTACTGTTTTGATATAATGCATATCAAAATATTACAGAATAAATACTCACTTCACACACCATGAAGGAAGCAGTGATGGAGAGCAACTCTCCTGGCTTGGGGAGGAGTGAACAAAAGGTGGGGTGAACGGACACTTACAAAAAGGGCTTCTGGCAACATAAAGTTGTTTCTCTGTTTTAAAGTATGGAAGTCATTGGTATATAAAACAATGAATCACTACAAATCAGTTAATTGCTATGAACTCTAAGGTGCAAGTAAAATTCGTAAATGAGATTTATCCAGTGTAGCACTGATCTGTACTGAAAACTTGCAAGTTACTCCTTAGAAAAAATAACCAGTGGCAGATGAAGTTCTGAACAGTTTTTTAAATATAATACCTCAATACATTTAATAATAAAAGTAAGCTCTACAAAAAAATCTGTTTTACATATCATACAAAATGTAGAGGTTGAGTGTGGCTCACTGAACCACACTGTTCAGTCATGTATCAGGAAGACTTGAAATTAGAAAATTATGCAATTTCTGCGGCTCATCCTCCTCCTGGGCACAGACTCAAGCTGTGTCCTGTTTGTGACATTTTCATTGCTTCATCTGTGAGTTCACTCCATCCCTCAAATGCTTCTTTTTTTATTCTTAAAATTTTTGCAAACAAACAAAGGTATCCTGCAATCCAATCTACTTTTGGGCAGCCCGATGAGCCAAGCTCCCTTGAAAACAGTTGGAGTTGATTTTATCTGCTTTGTCAGCTCCGCCAAGCTGAAATCATGTCAAAATCATGTTCGTGATGACGTTGCCCCTTGCTCCGGTGACATGGAGGTGAAAAAAACTGGTTACGGTATTCCTGAGCGCCAGACTGAGTAGTTCAAGGTCAGTTTTGTTCAACCAACGTCCTGGCAGATGAGAGTGAGGTGTGACCATGGTTGTGGCATGTGACATGCACTTTGGAAACATTTTCTCTACTTAAAAAAAAAAAAAAAAAAGTGTGACAGTCTTTAAACTGTTACGTGTCAGGACAACAGTCATCTATGACACAAGTTTCAGGCTGGTTTCCCTCTTCTTCCGCTACAGCCTCCTCTTCAACCTGCTCATCAAGTGGAATTTCTGTGGACTCTGAGTCTTGAGTGCACAGAGTCTTGGAGTCGCTGCAGCTAGTGTCTTCCTCCACTTGACTTCCGCTGTCCTTCTCAGTGTCTGACTCGCCATCTTCCTCTAAGGTTAGTTCAAACTGGAATTTTTCAGTTTGGCCCTGCCGGCCTTCCTCTTGGTCATCCGGTGCAGGGGAGGGGCTCTGAGGGATTGTGCTCTGGTACCACTCACGATTGTCCTCCAAAGTGTCCAAGATGTCCTGGGCATCAGGGTGTACGAGGTCCGCCCATGTCTCCCAGAGTGGATGAACAATATAGTCTATGAAGCCCACCTGGTCATAAGAGAAAAGAAATCCAGTGGAACTAAGAAACTTGGAGAAGCTCAACAGAATCAAGGTCCCTCATGGAACCTGCAAAGTACTAACCTGAGTTTGGTAAATTAGTCACTATTTGAGTCAACAGATCATGTAAACCTGGCAACTAGCTGGCCAAAGTATAACTCTAAGCTCAAGTAATGCTTACAATATATAATATGAAGAATACTAGTTATTTACATAGTAGGGCCTGGACCTTATTTCAGAACAGTCAATTTGTAGAGAACCCAGATAACTGGAATAAGCCAAGCATCCTATGTATAGAAGTATACTATATGGATACAATCACAATGAAATATAGTATTGTATGTGTGGCTATATGACTGTAAGTCCTAAGAACGCTCTTTGAGTTATCAACAGAAGTGAGATCTATCATGTCAAATCCAAATTAATTAACAAAAAGAAAAACACAAAATGCTACAGGGTATGAAGGTAGTATACAGCCAAATGCTTTGGCTGTGGGATTACCTGTGATTTTTCCACAGAGGCATTGTGCTTGTCACACATGGGACTTATCTCCATGCCACGTTCCCGCTCCCGGTCCCCCTGGCGGAAGAACTCCTCCATTATCCGGTCTGTCCACTGGCGGTACAGCTGCAGTGGCTTCGTGGGATTGCTGAGATCTGCACAGTGCACCATATTCTGGAGGACCTATGGTGGGTGGAGGCATTTTACTCGACATCTGCTGCTTGGGGTTTGAAACTAGGAATTCACATCAGATAACTGTGGCACTTAAAAATACATGTAGTATCAGATGTATTACAAACAGTTCAACCATGGTGTGCCTTTGCGGTTCACACTTGTAGTAAGTTCCGAAAAATGCCACTTCTCCATTAAGTGTCATGAAGAGACACTGTTAGTGTTCATGAATTATCAAATTCCAAGGTTCTCAAACAGTTGGTCTTTGGAATGTTAAGCTTTTGTTGTTGTTGTATATGCAAAGAAGCAGGCTAATAAGTCTTTACCTGCTTCAAAGGACTGGGCTTTTTATTTATTTATTTTTTTGTCTGATTGGTCTCTTTTTTGCTTGTATGTTAATGATTTCCAATTGTGTGCTTTGCTTTTTAAATTCTGGTTTGACTGTTTTGCCTTCTAAAGAGAGGAGAGGGAAAGGATGTGGAGTTGGGTGGGTGGGGAAGTGGAATCCATGATCAGAAAATAATGTACAAAAACCACTTTTTTCAACCAAGAGTCAGAATAAGATGATGATGATAAAGATCCTGCCTGTAGCTTCTGGACCTACAAAATGGGACAAAGAAGAAACAGCCCCTGTCTTTCTCAGAGTCACTAACATGTGCATAAAGAATGATAGCAGATGCTGACTTACCTGGATCCTGTCAGAATAATTATCAAGGAGGAGGACACCGGAGCTTGTCACCTTCTTAGTTTCCACCATCGTTTTCAAATCAGCCAGGAGGTTCATGTGCTTTGACATGTCTGTCGCAAGGACCTGGCAGGGCAAAGATTGTTTTGTGAGGGAACAATGCTTAGAGGACAAAGAATTTGCAAGTGGACAAAGAAATTATTTTGAGTTTGAGAAGGAATGGAGAAACACCATGAATTCTAATGATGTGTGGAAATGAGTGCCCCCTGGGGAATCTCTTTTCCTCTTGGCTGTCAAGTTTTCCCGGAACCCAGAAAAACATCCACAACACAGAAACAGAAGGTACCTGGCCACCACTCTCAAGGTAAGCACACCGTGTCCGTCCTGAACTAGTGAGCCATGACTGTACTGCACCTAGCTGACTCAAGGCTATTCAAAGACCACTTAGGATACCAAGTATTTGCAGAGATCATGGAGCCTGTAGGGGTCTGTCTGAGGCCACTAGACTTACTCCCTATCCTTAGCAGTTGGATTTATCACAGAAGAAACCTAATTTCACATCATCTCTAAGAACTTGAATCAGTTTTATTAGGTACTTACAATGTCAATGACCATTTTCCTTAAAGATTGTCTTTGCTTTTTGGTCAGATTCTGGAAAATGTCACAGTTTTCTTCTTGGAGCAACTTGAAGCCCACGGCCAGATGATGATTCTCTAAGACAGAGGAGTCGTTGTACATCAAGGCGAGCTCTGAGTCTGAAAGAGAAGCAGTACGTCACCAAGGTTGCTTAATGTCTGTCTGTCTGTCTCTTCAAATTCTACGGTAATTCCCAACATTTTAGGGTCTGAGCCAGGAGCATAACAAGTTAGAGGCTGCTCTGGGAAAACATATAAATGAATGAAAACAAACCCCCAAGATCTTTGATGCCTTGTGTTCAGGTTATAGCTGCCTCTGAACTTCTCCATCATCCATGAGCAAATATGTCAAATAATCTCAGAGCCAAAAAGTCAGAACTTTAGGAGTGAATTACAGTTTGACTGATACTGTGGTCCTGCTGGTCAGTTCTCTGAGGTGAAAGAAATGGACCACACTATCTTGTCAGGATCTGCCATCAGCTCAGCAGACTGTGGTATTGTTCCTAACACTCATAACACATCCTGGGCATGAGGTGTCATTTCCTGATAAGTGTGGAACACTTGCTCTGATACAGTGTGCAACACTTGCCCTGATACAGTGTGCAGATCATGGGTGCAAGGTTGTTGGTACACAGAGCAAGTTTCAGTATCCAGTTTGTTCACAGTGCTTATCCTTCTAAGTACCTCCCCTTCTTCCCTCGTCTGAGGCTCTTGCCATGCTCAGCATTAGCCATGCTCGGTGTTCTGAGTGTGAACTGTCTGCCTGCCTGTTCGTGGCTTCACAGACCTTGTGCACATGTGTCTATAGGCCCATAGTAGAGGATCTGCAATACTGCTTTGGATCTGGGGATTAAAGGCAAAACAAGATTTTTGCCTCTCCGTAATCCTGTGGACAGCAGACTTAGCTATAGGAGGCTTTTTGTTGTTAATATTATTTTTGTTTTATGTGTATAAGTGTTTTGCCTGCATGGATGCATTTGTCAAATGTGTGCTTGGTGCCTGTGTAGGCTGGAAGAAGGCATTTGGCTCCCCTGAAACTGGAGTTACAAATTGTGAGTTACCCTCTGGGTGCTTGGAATTGAACCCTGGTCCTCTGTAAGAGCAGTCTCCGTGCCTATCTTTAAACATTTTTGGGCACTTTATTTTGCTTCCTTAAGTTGCTGTAAAGATTGAAAGCATGGGTATTCTGTCTTTCCTGTCACTAATGCCCTAAAAAAAATACATTCAGAGGCTGCTTCTAAGGCACAAACACCGGGAACTATGTGCTGATTGCTTTGAAGGAGTTAGGGGGGACAGTTTTTGATGTTCTTCCCAAGGAGATCCTATGGTCTTAGGAGAATTACATACATAAGAAGGGACACATCTAGCCTGCTGCTCTCCATGCCAGAAACAGGAGAGTGGTGGGTTTCAGGAGTAGATGTGGAAGTATATGGTTCACTTTTACTTTGTCTGGAAAAATCAATCCCATTGAAAGGTAATATCTGGTTAAGTCTTGTTTTTTTTCCATGCTGGGAATCAAATTTATTTTTAAATAGTCTATGAAAGCCAAGGGTAAACATGTAGAAATTATAAATGATACAGGATCTGAGCACAAGGCACTGTATATATGCACCTGAATCATATTAAACAAGCAAATGCTGGAAGGAACACATAATATTGTCTATCTCATAGAAACAATGACAATCTACCAGGGTCTTTTTAGGGGAATAAACATATAGGTATACTCCCCTTGAAGAGATAGGCAGGGCAAACAGGGGGGACTGTGGCCTCTAGGAAGGTGATCTGTTCTACAGATGGAACACCTATTCAGCCTAAGGAGGGTTTTTGATGCAGGCTCTAAAGGCACTGGCTAAGCTTGTCTTAGGCAAGGAAATGATTCCTTAGTAGGCTAGGGTAAGGTAATCAGTTGCTCCAGTCTGATCCTGGTGAAAGGCAACCTAGACTTGTACAGTAAAAACTCAGTTTTAAATGAAAACATACTAGCATTTAAGAAACTGAACCTCAGGGTCATCAATTGACTTTCTATGCTTATCACTGAAGGTGCATGAGTCACATGTGACACACATATCTATGGCACCTGCTAAAGATGCTAACCCAGGACTTGCAGGTAAAGTCCTTCAAGTTCACACTCCAATAGCTAGGTGGCCTGCCAGTCTTCTGCCACCTGTTCCATGAAGTCATTCTTGATTGCTGAAGACTGCTCATTTCTTCTCTAAGTGCCCCCAACACTCTGGACCATTCAATGACCATTAGAGCATGCTCCCAGTCTGCCCTTCTCTCTGAACATAGTTTCTCTTCTTGACCCTCCCTCTTGACCTTCTTAGAGGCTTGAGTCTTTACAAAATTAAAGATTATTCTTAGTCATCTAGTTTCTACTAGACACTCCCCTTCTATCTAACTTAAAAGCACTGACAAGAGAATATCCTAAGCTACCACATTCAGGGGACTCAGCTGCCTTGTGTTGGAAGTGGTTGGCTTGGTATATCTTCAATGCTCACACCTCTCTTAAGAAGATGTGAATGTGATGGCCATTTCTAAATGAAGAAAATGAGTCTTCGGAGAGGTAACATTGCCAATATCATACAGCTCAGACACTCTAGGGCTGATATTTAAAACAAGCAGTTTCTAGACTATTCATGTCAAGCTTTTATTATAATTTTAAAAAACAGCTCTGGGTTTTTCTTTATGAGGAAATACTTTCTATTGCTACTTCAAGTTTACTGCTGAGTTGTTTTTTATCTTACTGATTTTAATTTTGATGATGGCAAGACTTTGCTCCAAAATCTTAAAGTTTCGTGTCATGAATTGCCGATGGAACCCTGCACATAGCTCCAAACAACAATCCCATCAGCTGCTGGCACTGCTGGACCAGTGATAGCATGAGGCACTTGCACAGCAGAGTAGACCCAGGAAGAGACTACTTTTATTCTGGGTCATGGAATAAACTAACAACAGTTCTTCATGTCACTCATCAATGGGCCAGAGTGACATACCTCAGTGAAGAGAATGCTGCTTCCAAATCCACCCAGGCCCGGGGATCATGTGTTTCTCTCTTGGCTGTAGGAAGGGTTATGTATAATTACTGCTCTTCTAACTTAAATGGATGGCTCAACATGCCCCATACCAGTAGGCCTTTACAAATTTCACAAAGGAAGGAGCTCCCAAATATTAGCTGGATTTATTTCTCAACCAAGGTCACTTTACCAGCAGAAGTCTTCAAAGAGCTGGGAGCTCACTGTACTTCAGCCAGTCATGGGAGGTGATTCTGACTTTGACTTTCAGCAATTTATCCCTCTGAGTACAGCTGAGAAGGTTCTTGTCCTGACACACTCAGAAACACAAGCCGTTGATGTGTGCTTGATCTGGGAATTCCCATCCCTAAGCTCATCATTTTCATCTAACATTGGTTCAGTGACATTGGGAGTAACCAAATAATTGTCATTCCCCAGTCTCCTAAAAAGTGCTGAGATGATTCAGAGTCATCTGTATGAGGTTGATAAGAAGTATTTGTGGTACATCTTGGGTATCTATAACAAATACTTCAGCCTATCAGTATGCTCTTTACTACAAGAAGCAGAACCAGTGTCTTCAAATCTAAGAGATAAGACAATACCAAAACCCCCCAAAGCAACTCAGAAAATGCATGCTTAGAATTCTGCTCCTCTGAATCCACCTTAGAACCCAATCACCATAGGTCATGCTTCTACAGTGACACAGAACCTGAAGGTCAGACACTATATATACATTCCTCAATGTTTACTGTAGGAATTGGCTCAGGTGCTTATATAGCAGGTAAGAAAGACCTGAATCTTCAGGCCTTGTACAAGCTAGAGGGCCAAGCAAGTTAGCGGCAATTCAGTCCTTTCCATAGCCCAAGAAAGGGAATGGGACAAGAGAGAGGGACAGAAAGGGTGTAAGTTCTAGTTCTAGTCTGGAGCTCTGCAAACCAGCAGATGTCTGACAGCAGCTCAGACTGAGAACACCATTTGCCTCCCCTCACCTCATCTGTTGTATTTGGGTTCCCATGAACTGGTGATGGTGCCCATTCCCATTGGTCAGGGTGATCTGTGCTCAGTCTGCTAATTCAAATGCTAACTACTTACAGAAACATTCCTTCGGGCTCATCCTGAATTAAGATGCTCCAGCTTTCTAGGCATCACTAGAAACTGTGAGCACACATCTTAGACTGTAAGCTTGCAGAGGGCGAAGGCCTGCTGTTTGCCAACACTGAAGTCATACACTAAGGATCTCCTATTGATCTTGTGGCAGGGTAAGTAGATTTAAATGAATTTTATTTTATAGTGCTAATTGCCAAAGGGTGCAACAACAAGGAAGAAATGTGATGCCCTAAAAAAAAAGAACTCTACAAAAAAATTCAAAAATTTTGATAAATCAGACTTCAATTGTGAAAAGCTCAGAGGTGGGAAGAGTGCATACAAGCTTTCTGTTGGACCAGATGAAGCAATATGTATGAAAAGTGTAAAATGAGAAATTTTACTCTAAAATTATACACTTTCGAAGTGACATACTCTGAAGAAAATGGGTAATTTAGTGTCTATTAATAGGAGTCAAGTTAATTCATTTGTGTCTCTTCTACTTTCCAATGAACATATTACTATCATCATCATTCACTATGTAGAGTTCTTAGGCTTAACCTGTAAGGTAAGAACAACCCTTCCCAAGTGCTGTGGGAAGGACAAGCTATCTTAACATATGGAGATGAAGGGCGTTCCTGCCAAGGATGCTGAGGTGTCCCAGCACAACCTGCCACTGGAATGTAGAACCTACATTTTATCAGCTCTCAACATGGAGGGGAAGCAGGCAGAGGACAGCTGACTTGTGTGGCACCACGAGCAAAAGGGGATTGAGACCTGTGTGTGAAGGCTAAGATTTACTCAGAGCAGCATAGCTTGGGAGCAGGTCAGAGATTAGGCTACACCCTTTCTACTCCTGCTGCTTAGCTAGGCTTAGCCCAGTACCTGAAAATGACAGCATGCTCCAAGTTGCTGGAGGCATAAAACAGTCATCTGTGTAAGGATTTCTGAAGGGAACCAGGATAGTGAAGAGGGATAGGCAAGAGAGTGCATGCTGGTGGTGGGAGGATTATATCAAGATATATTATGTACATGTATGATAATGTTGAAGTATTTATACACACATATGAAAATGTCATGTGTGAAAGTGTTACTATCTTATACAAAATTAATGCATGCCATTTTTTTTTTTAAAGAAAGCTTCCAAACAACATGTTCCTAAAACTGCCCTTTTTACCTCTCACTTCATCTGTGTTCCATGCCCAGGACCTGTCTGGCTTCCTCATGCACGAAGGACCATCTTAAGCCACAGTCAGTTATCTTTTCTAGCACAATGCAAGCTATTAAGAGCCAGACCTTTGCCTTGTTTTCTACATAATTAATTTGTTCTTATTCAAAGGTTTACACAAAGATCACTATATAATTCACTAGTACAGCTATGGAAAATCTATGTTAAAATGATATGAGAGCTTGGTAATCTCTGTAAAGTGTGTGTACTGGCAACTAGATCCCACTTCAACTTACTATGATGCAATGCCTCTCTACTCTTGGAAACCCACAGACATATGCTTTGAATATAAGATGAGTGTGAATAAATCTTTCTCCCCAAACTTGGGCATCTTTACTATAAACAAAGCGTTCTCTTTCCAAGTAAAATGTAACACCATGAATGTTTGGTACCTTTCACACTATTTTACTTTTCAGAAAATAAAACTGAAAAGTCCAATGATCTTTTCATGATAAATACCTTCTGGGATGTTACAGTCAAACCTGTATGAAACTATTTGCAATTTATGTGTTGCTTTATCTGCATTGTCTTCACAAAGACTAAGGCAGCTTTTCACCTGGGATTTCAATTTCTCTATGCCCTGTGTTCATAGACCTCCACAGCCTTCTCATTGTACTCCGAGTCTCAAACTATCAAGCCTCATCATCTCTGCCAGGTAGAAATGATCACCCTGCTCTCAACTTCTAGGCACTTCGAATAAACACAAACCCATCTGCAATAATCACTGAAGACTAAGATCACAGCTAAGAGGCAGGGGCATGACTGCATTGGGAGTCACGTCTTTTAAGTTCACTGTGCCTACTGAGCTCAAGAGATGTAGCCATCTAACTAGGGGTTTGAGAGAATGATCAAAACTCCAGATTTCCTTGTTACAAGAACCAGGTCCAACCTTTGGTTTTGACTTTGGAAAGACCAGCTCTGAGTCAATAGGTCAAGAGTCTGTTCATCTGGTTCACTGACACTGAATCTGTCCATGAAAGCCAAGGAAAATATAAACTTAAGTCTTGCTCTGAAGGGTGACTACCAACAAAAATAAACACATAGTTTCAACAAATTATTTCTTAAAGGTCTTGTATTTGTTATTTTTAAAGTCACTGGAGATTTGTTTGTTGTGAATATAAACTGAGTGGAAAGGAAAGAGGGAAGGGAGGGTAAGGGTGCAGGCTCTGGTGATCACTCAAAATGAAGGCAGTGATTCTGCTCATCCCTGGGATGGTTCTGTTTACCAAGCTGCCCTGCCGACTCACAGCCTCACCATGACCCCCAACAAAGCTTCCCTTGGAACGGAGGACATCCCTGTGTTGCTATGGTCCAGTGATCATCAAAATGCTAAAAGTAACTAACTCACTTCCAGAAGCAGGACTGGTTATCAGGTTTCTACCTAGACATGTCACCAGAAAAATGTATCTAAATAGACAGCTTTGACCACTTCTCTAGATTTGTAGGCATCCTCCAAGTTTCTCCATTACCTGATTCATTGTCTTTCGAGGATGGGGGGCTATGCTAGCTGAGATGACAGACGCCTACCACAGGTGCCAGCCAAGGCCCGACTGTGTTTGGAGGGTTCAGAGAAGAACAGAACTTGTCCCTGTTCTCCTTAAAGGGTACAGTAGACTACTTGAAAGACTGACTCTATTCTGACTTAACTGTGTCCTCTGAACTTAATTCCGACGCCACTATAAGGTAACATAAAATAGCATAAGATAGAATACAAAGGAAGTATTCTTTCACTGTTTGATGTACTAACTTAGAGTTATAACAAGGTATGTTTGTGTATTTGTTGAAATCTGTACCAGTAAGAACATAACAAGAAATGCTTGAGCCTCAAAATACTGAAGTGGGGCAGATTTATGGAAAGTACCAGTGCACCATGTGACCTGCCAGCCCTTTTAAGAAAATGCTGTCTACCTGAGCAGCAGCACAGGGCAAGTCCCGCTCCCCAAGGATGTTCAGTGCTGATAAGTCATGTAAATGTTTTTATGAGTCCTGTAAGAGCCCTGTTACAGATGTGGATGTAATCCTGTGTGATCAGTAAGCCCCTCCTAACACTAATGTCTGAAATGTGGGCTTCCAGCCACACATATTCCAGGAGGCCGTGAGCCCTCTGCTGCATTTGTGAATCACTAACTGTATTTTGTTATATTTCCACAGGGGCTATTTAAGGATACAACCATGGAGCTAAGTAAATCTTACAGACCTGACTTAAACCTCTCAAGGTACATACAGTCTTCTCTCTTTAAATTCTGCTATGGTAATGTTGAAAGTTGTGAAGGCCCTGATACTAGGATAGACAGAGTCTAACCCACAGTTTAAGACAGAAGCAAGGCAGTTTCTTAACATGAAAAAGACTCACACCTTTGCTTTTTTCTTCATTTAAAGGGGAATTTATAATATCAATTTACCTCAGCACAATGGGAAAGACTTAAGTCCTAGTAACATCAAGTAACGAGTACTATTTATAAAACATTAAACCCTTCTCCAGAGGAAGGGGAAAAGCCTTCAGGCATCCTTACAGATGTTTGCTGTGTATCAGGAAGGCCACAACGAGATCTCTACCACTCATTACATCTTTAGACATAATGGTATCTTCTTACACATTGAGAGGTTGCAGGGGGTTAAAAGGAGAGGGAATTGTTCAAGAGGCTAGAAACTACGTTCCCGTTACTTCCATGGAAAGCTTTGAAAAGAAACAGAGGGGGCTGGGATCTGTGATGGTGGGGATCAATGGTATCTATACAGTGAAGAGGGCTTAGGATTAGTTCCAACAGGCTACCCGCACCATTGTACATGCTCTCGCCTCTCTACATGCTTCCACCTTTGATTGTCTTTTGCAGAAACATGTTAATAAATGACTTTTAGAGATATACTAGAGCACACAGATGATTTTCACACACCAACTGCCTGCCCCATGGGAGGCCATGATCATTTGCAGAGAGAAATTAGTGTTATGCTATTTCTAAAACATATTTTACACATGTCAAAACCACATTATGACCCTGGAGAAACATGGACTTATGAAAACTCA